AGGCATTGCTGGATTAGGTTTTTAACAAAAAGATGTGAAACCCAGCGGGACTGCTGCATGGTGAGGAATAACGTTCTGGACAGTGCTTTTGTTCAGAAAGTGTCTGTAGCCAGAGGAACAAGAAAAGTGTTTTCTGCAGTCTCTGTTGGCAGGCAGAAAGGTGAAGCCAGTACAGAGTTTGGATCTGCACAGCTCTGTGGCTTCTCTTTAGCCTGTGTCCAGTTCGATAGTTCTTTATTTTTCCCTTAGTTCAGATTTAATCCAAGCCAGGCATAGGGGAACAGAAAGACATTGACTTTCATTAAAACCACTGTAGGAAACACTTTCTCCCTTTCAATGAAAGGTCACTGATTGGCAGGTTTTATCAGAATTACAGCTGTTTCCTTTCTTTCTCTGATAACAGATTTGGCCAGTTCCTATCAGATTTTTCAGAGCTTTGCTGAGAAATTTTATACTTTCTTTTTACACTAGTTTATTTTTTCCCCTCATTCTTAACAAGTTTCTAGCTTGTTCAGTTCCCATTAGAGGCCATTTTGGGGTTTCCAGAAAGCTATTTCACACTATTCAAGTCAAAAGACAGAGATACAGCAAGCCATAGCCCATTCATCACAGCGAGATTATTTCTTTTGCTGTATTTAAACCACTTTGGTCAGTATTCCATTTCAGATAGTTTTAATAAAAGCTCTGTTAAGTGCCAGCCAAAATCACATGTGCTCTGGTGATCCAGACTGTCATAGCCATGCTGTAACTGCTTTCTTTTAACAGGTCACACAGGAGGGCTCCTGAGATGTACATCCAGCCTTGAAGTATAAGGAAAATTTACTACTACGTTTTCCTTATCAAGTCCATTAGCATTGAATCAACTGTGTACATTGATCTACCCACATTAGTATTTCAGGGATAGAATTCACTTCAGCAAATATAGAAGTAGTTAATATTTTAACAACTAACTATCTCTATTAAAAGTCTAACCCTATATATCGCTGGGAAGGAAGGGCTCTCCCCTAGGCAGGTCAGCCAACATATGTCGGTAGATCCCAAGCACCCTATGGCTTGACTACAATTGTTCCTTGCGAACAAGCTATCTTGGCCAGCTCATCTCAGTCATTTTTCTCTAAACTAATCTATTATAAATAATTCTCATACAAAAACTTTGCCACAATAACATACTAGAAACTAATATCTGGAAATAATGTAGTTTATTTAATATAAAAAGTAATCCCTAAATTAATCTAATCATGAAAGGCTTTAGAAAGAACTAGAAGAAACAATGTCCATAATATCCCTTTTCTGTCTGTTGAGCATATCCTACCACCAAATTTTTAATGTCCATCTGCCTATATCACTACCTTTCTGCAACCTGTTTTCACTGCTAGTGACTTTAACAATGTTTTCCTAGAGGGATGGTTGTTTCTCAGAAGAAGAAAAAAAGGAGAAATCATAGATTTGTCTCAATACGATTTCATCTTGTCTGAAAACCACTAGAAGCTGCAGCTGGCCTCTTCCTTGTCTACCTAAGCGTTCACATTCACAACGCCTGTTGAAGTGAAACATCCATTTTACATCTTTTCTAAAATGATTTTAAGATTTCTGCTAGTCTCAGAACATCATTATCTAAGAAAAAGAAAAACAAAAGATCGTTCACAGTAAGACTAGCAGATGACCCAAGAGGCAGTGTCTTTAAAGCCACCATAGCTCCAACACGATTGTTTTAAAAAGAACTTCAGAAGAGTATTGAGCCACTGCGATGAAGTTATATTTTATTGCAAAACTGCAGTTTCTGTGCCAAGCAACCCTCAGAAGCATTGCTGCATGTTACCTCCATCCGCTCCCGGCTATTTTTTAGGCCCGCTTAGTTACCTGTAAGCAAGGTCAGAAGAATCCAGTTCAGGAAGAAGTGAGGAGACATTGTGGCTGAAGATGAGGGACACTCGTGTTCGCCCTTTGTGCACCTACATTCAAGAAAGCCTGTCTTTTTCATAAACTTCTGGTTTTACTTCTCAGTATTAGCACGTCAGCTTCAGACAGGATGATGCCCTTTAGTCTGATCAGGATTGCCTTTCCTGTGGTTAGTGTTAGTCTCTAATGTTGCTGTTGGTGATACACACAGCTGAATGCTTGCTGACTGTGGTTTGACTAATAGGCTAAAATACTTAGCAGTACTTCAAAAATATACTTCTGGTTTTTTGTTTTGTTTTTTCTTCACTAATCTGCGCAATTATAGTAGGAGAAACTTTTGTCAGCTTCACCAAGCCGAGAGCTAACAATAATACAATGCTCTGCATTGCTTCCCATACCTTTTTCTTGCCATGGTATGTAAAATTAGGGGGAAAACTAGTCCAGGCAATGGACTGTCATAAACAGAAAGTGTTTGACTTGGAACTATTAATCTAGCATTTAATAATTAACTTTTGGCTCTAATACTTTTAAGTAGTTCAGAGCTACTTTGAGCAAACGTGATTTTTCTTGTCAAGCTGTAATTTGGTAACATTAGAAACTTCCCTACCATTTGAGAGTTGTAGCCTAAGCAGAGCTGCTATCGATCATCATCCTACTCTTCAACGTCCTGCATATATCTGGGCTTTTACACTATAAAGTAACACAACACAGAAGTCACTTAAAAAGTAGGGTGGAAACTATGTTTTCCAGGCTCAATGCTCACTTTGATAAAATGTTATTGAAATGCATCTTTTGAAATATGGTGTTGCCTGCCCACTTCCCCTGTCCCTGGATTCCCTAACTCATCTTGAGGATATATACTATTTTAATATTGTTTGGACTAGAACTGCAGATGTGATAAAGCGTGCTTGATCTCCAGCCAACAAATGTTCTTTGCTGAAGCAGATAATCTACCTCATACCCTTTTATACAGACAAAAGCAAGTTGTAAGGAATTATTTTTTATAAATAACAAGCAGCAGAAGTGCTTCCAAAAACATACCCTAACCATAAAGCTAGGCCTTATCAGAACCAACGCAGCCACCTGGGACTGAATACCTTAAATGCAAGCAGAGTCACTGAAGTAACAGTTTCTTTCAGTAGAAAGGAGAAAAAATAAAGGACAAAAGTAGTCAAGGGCAGAGGAACACCAGCAGCAAACCTGAGAGAGAAAGCTGAGAAAAAAGAGGGAGAAAGGGTGATTTTTGTACAAAGTGGGTAAAAGCAGATTTAGGTCTCTGTGTAAGAAAACGCTTCCTCTTCGCCTTTTTTTTTTTTTTTCTGGGGAAATAGAACACTGCAGTCAGCTGTTACAGGAATTGTTCTGAACATTACCAGCAGTATCCTAAAACTGCTCTGCAAGGGTGGAAAAGGCAGGGCAATCTGACCCTGGCAGAAGGTTGAGGACTGAACTCACCCCAGCCTGTGTCAGGGCAGGGTTCAGCACCAGCTGAACTCCTCCTGGTGGCTCAGCAAGTGACCAACATCAACCAAGAGCACAGCGCAAGTCCCCTCTACCAGCTACCTCTAATAGCGAGGGAATCATGACATTTAAAATGCTTCAGGTTGTTTTCACTTTCCAAGAAGTGTCCACAAACATGATCCCCATTTACCTCAATATTTTCACAGAAGAAAAAAAAAATCATTACAATTTTTAATTACTTGTGGAGTATTTTGAAACTAGACCCACATACCATACATGCATGATGAACGAAGAGGAAAGAAAGAAAGAAATTAAACATGACAGCTTTTTGAATGGCAGAGTAGAAGCACCTGTATTAAGCTAGTTCCACAGCACATGACCAGTTATCCAGGATGCACTGAATCTATTACTTCCATCCACTTCAAAAAAATTGCAAAGTAGATACCCAATTAATTCCTCTGACTTGTGATTGTTTTAGCTACCTACAAACAACATAATTTAGATCTAGTCCAGGAAGAAGGAAGGAAAGAGTAGTGTTTGTATAGAGGACAGATGTGTTAACTTTGTAAAGTTATACGTTTCTGAAAAACATACTTCCACTTCTTATTACTCATATTACACGTACCTAAATTAGCAGGTGAGATCCTCCAGTGAGTCATATGTTTGCATCAGTTCATTCCATCTTCATCTGCATTGAGTTCAATTCCCACCACCCAACAGCTAAGTTCTGTCTGCCCATTTAAATAAATATGCATTTCTATAAATAACTGAATTATCCAATAAAAAAGAGACATAGCTTGCAAGATCACTCTGTAAAACTGAGTTTGAATGAGTTCCCTCACCCATGAAATCCACCCATTTTCTCTTTTAGCTGTATACACTGGAAAAGTTTTGCATGGCAAAAAGACAGAAGTAGGATTTCCCCAACAGGACGCGTTGGGTAAAGAAGCCACTTCCTCATTACGAAATCCTCCTTTCCCTTAAATAAACTAGTTTTATTTAAACATGGATGATACAGCTTCCCCTTGACAAAATATTTCAAGGGTCTGTCAAACTTGAAGTTCTCAGTTGGTGTAAAGGCTAATTACCCAATCAGACTCTCCTTCAAAAGAAGTGCTCAGCTGGGCATACAGCCCACCTGAAAGGCAGATGCAAAGCACCCACACTGCAAAATTATTTACTTCATACACATTTATCAACTATGCAGGAAACAAAAAGTTATTCTAAGCATCAACAGAAAGTAGGCATTTCTGTACTTTCAAGACTGATTATAATTTATATCCAACGAAATTAAAAAAAAAAAGAATTCATTTAATATAGATTCCTGACAGCATCTCCACAAGAGAAATGACACTGTATTACATATGTAATAAAGTAATTCTTAAGTTGTCTTTAATAGTTATATTACTACAAGGTGAGAGAAGAATAAATTTCTCAGAATTCCCATTAAATTAATTTTTAATATTGAATTATATGTTCCTGAAAAAGACCCACTGAAAGTGTAAACACCCACCATGTAGTTGGAACAGGTGGAACTGTCAGTTTAAATTTCTGTCAGTCAGATCCCTCGCTTTCACAGCTTAAAGCAATTTAAAAAAAAAAAATGAAGCACCCCCAAAAAGGCTGCAAACAAATGGAAATAAGTCAGAATAAAAAATAACTTTAATACGTGGCTTTCACCTCACATGAATCATTTAACAAAAAGCACACATATTTGTTTTTTAACAATACACATACAGTTCACAAAATATTAAACGTTCTCATCTGCTTAGTCACAACCTCCCCCCAACAGGTGCACTATAAATGCTTTGACTGCTTGTATAACAGAAAAACAAAACATAACATACACCCTCAGAATTTATTCTGCTTCTCCTTGTAGTGAGCTAATGTAAGTGTTTCATGTCATTTCATCAATAATGCTACACATAGCTGCATCTTTGTCTAAAACCTGATCTCTCTTGCAACCAGAACGTTCTCTCTGTTTTTCACTCTGTCCAATGCAACTGTTGCCATCATCAGTGTCCATTGGTTCTGTTTTCACTCGCAGCCCTCCCTCTGAGTGAGGCAGGTCATCAGGCAAAGAAGCCAGGCAGTTCTGAATCATCTCTACAACTCGCTCTAAATGCTTCTGAAATCGTTCTGCAGTTTCCAAACGCTGACGTTTCTGCACTTCCATCATGACTCGCAAGGTCTCCCTAGCTTGGTGAGGACGGTACTCGTTTATAAGATGATGGACATGAACAAAAAGCAGTTTCAAGTCCTCCAGTTTCTCTTCTCGCTTTATACTCCCTGGACTCCTTATCAAGATATCCAAGAGATCCAGAAAGTTGACCAGGATAGACATATTAAGCTTTCTTAATTCCTTCTTGTGATCAAACTGCATCGGATGCAAGGCGCTCAATACCCTGGCTTTCCAAGGGTCGGATAATTAGATCATCACACTGAAACTGATTACCAAACATCATGTAACTGTCTTTCACAGGCGGAGGTGGCTTTGGGGCCAGGCCCTTACGGATATTTTCATCGGTGTATTCTTTTATGTATTGCATTGGAGGCGGAGGAAGAGCACTCACTTGCTGGGGCTCACCCATTATTGCAGCGATGGAAGAACCTAGGGAACGCCAAAGAAACACGTTATACACCCTGTGTAACAAACCTGTAGTACAAATAAAGGTGCTGTGAGGGCTATGTTGAGACACCGCACCAAGCAGAAGCTGTCTCAGTGTGTAACACACAGGGAGCTCCCCAATAACCCCAGGTTAGCGTTACACGGAGACACACCCCCACCCCACTCCCCTCAGACGCACACAGCAGCCACAGGAAGAGGGGTTTAAGCCCTTCCCTGGCCACGGCCCGACCCAGGAAGGGGGAGAGCGGCAGCAAAACGCCGCCGGGAGGCAGGCCCGGCCCGCAGGGCGGCCTCCACAACGCAGCCCCCCGGCTCCGGCCGGGCCCTGACAGGACCCGAGGCGGCGGCAGGACGGAGCTGCCAGGCCGCCTGCCCTCACCTGCGCGCCGAGCTCCCCTCAGCCTTCCGCCAGCACCTCGCTTCCGCCGGCACCCCCTTTTGTTCCTCCTGGCAATTGGCTTGCTGAGAGAGGGTTGGGAGAGAAGCGCGCTCTGATTGGTTCTTCTGAACGCCGGTCTTCGGTTTGCTCCATTCAGAGAGAGCGCTCTCTCCGGAGGCGGTGCCGATCGGTGGCTGGGGCGGGGCGTCGCCATGGAGGGGGCGCCATGTTGGGGCTCGCGTGGCTCTTGTAGGCCAGAGGCCCCCTCGGTGCTTATCCTCGTGTGGTGTCTGCCAGCCCAGAGCAGCCGGGGCTGCTTGGAAGGAAAATACTTGGAGTGGGGTCCCCAACGGGATTCTGACGCTTTAACCACTGAAATATGTGGTGGTCACACGTTGCACTTCCGCGCATCAGAAACTTGGGTGTTAGCCCTGGTCACAAAATAAAAGCATTTGCCTGGAAAGTATGTGCAGTGTGCTTTAGCTGAACATCCGAGCCTGAGCACATACAGGCTGTCACAGCTGGGCTCCAGTGGTCTCCTTTCATTTTCGTTCCACAAAGAGCTAAAGAAAAAAAAAATGTGGATTTATGTTTTCCACTTTCTGGGTCGTGGGCAGCGGGGCTTGCTGGCATCGCTTCTGCAGGAATTTCTCCCTAAATGGACAACCAAAATACAGTTTTTGATACTTAGGCATTTATGTTCTGTTCCTTCTCTTCCTCAGCAGGTGGCAGTAATATCCTTGGTTTTGCAGGAACCCCTTGTGTATACATGCAGTATCATTTAGAGTTCCTTTTCAAGATCACTTTGGGAAAAAAAATAAAAAATATATTACTTTGGATCCTGCCAATTATTTATAAAACAATGCAAAGGAACTTCAGAATTGTTAATTTGACTAGAAACCCTGAAAACATTTGCTGCTTCCTTTTTGCTGATTATCTAAATGTTGAAATACTCCAAAACTAAAGCACTCTACAGCTGGGGCAGGGCTGATGATGAGTGCAACCCCTTCACATCAAAAGAGTCTGGCAACGTATATTTTGGCAGAAATGAACCCCTTTGTGACATCCATGATTTAGCGGGAAGGACAATGTCTGTCACGTAGGAAGGAAGGGTAGCCTTCAGTGAACTTACTGAAGAAATCTCGCCCATTATGAAGGCTGATGCCCTTATTCTTTGGAAGTGCTGTGTTAGGATTTACACATATTCAAAGATAATCGCTGATGACTTCAGTTACCTAGTCAAGTATCTGTTCATATGGCCTATGTCGTGTTTACAGATATAGACCCATGGATTTCTTGAGTAACTGGGCCTCGGTGTAGACATGTTGTCCAAAGGAAGATATGTCCAAAGGAGGAAATGACTTACAGCTTTGATTCAGGAAGAACTGATGCTACATTGGTTTGGGTGCAATCTGTATCTGTCAATAATTTCTAGACTTCCAGATCTGATGTTGTCTAATACCTGAAGTAATGTCTTCACACTTTCTACCCTGGATGTCAATACTTCTACTTAAAATGTGAAACAAAGCTCTTTACATTAAGGATTTTGTGGTTCCCCAAGATGTGAATTAATCTAGTGTTCTTTTCAGGAACAGATCCATAATGACTGAAATGTGATGAGCACCGAGTAGTGTAAGCTCTGAATGGATTGTTCAGACACAGGAGTTTGAGTACAGAAAGCTCTTATTCTTTACGCATAAATATCCTAAAGGCCAGCCATGTTGGGCAACACAATGCAGAAGGAACAAAACAGTATGACACGGTTTGGCCATGTTGCTTTCTGTTTTCATCATTTCAGCACTGTATCTGGGGAAACCAACCTTTTGAAATGTGTGAGTTGTGCTAGTATGGAACTTGTTAGTAAAAGCCACCTTTAAGAAAACCAGTCATTTGGTTCCCAAATAAATATATACTAAACAAACAAAAAAAAAATCAAAAAAAAAAAAATAAAGAATGAAGAAGTTTAAAAAGTTGCCACCATTCACCACTTTCCTATCAGTTTGTGATCATGTCAGTTGAGAAGCTAAACAGTTCGGAGCAGAAAATCACATACCATCAGTAAGGAGGGATCCAAGATGACTTTTTTTTCCTGTTTTTGGTTTTGTTTGTTTCTTTTGTTGTTTGTTGTTCCCATAGGGTGGTGGTTTCTAAATACTACTTCCATGCATACAAATAATCATTTTGAAGAAGGGAAAGTGTTCCAGGATGAAGATACGGATCTAACCAAGACACATAAATATGGAACTGAGAACATGGTTTCAGATACAGGCAAGAGGGTGCTTCCGTGCTGCAACTAAACAGTTTGCTGATTTGGAAAGAGGAGTTCTCATTCCTTCACCATGCATCTCGGTCCTGCTCTCCTTTCTTCCTACACTGCTCCTCCAGTCTCAGTTTCTGGCTGTGCAACATTTCATTCTCATTGTTGGAATGAGACAGGAACGAGACAGAAATGAGACAGTAAGACGATGTTTTCATCAGTGTAAGACATTGGATTGCAAAGTAAACTGATGCAACTCCAAACCCCACAGAAAACATGACTGTAACTTTCCTGGATTATGTTTTCTGCTCTTCTCTTGAGTTGAGTAGACTCACTGTGCTATCCAGTATCAGAGCTAGCTTTTAAGTGAGGAGAAAACACGGGCAGAAGGAAGGGAGGAGGTCAAGGAGATGGTGAGGGGAAGGGTTCTCCTCTCTGTGGCAGCAGCTGTTAGTTTGTCAAATCACCTTGGTACTACAGACAAGGAATAAAAAAGTACCACCTCCAGAGAGGCACGAGAAAACCCAGTAGTAGGAGGTGCTAACCTGCCTCTGGTTTTGTTGGACTTTCCAGACTTTGATTTCACATTCTTTTAACAAGAGCTGAGCTTGATTCTCGGCTGCCTTGCACTCTGTGAACTGTACAGCAAGGCAGTAAAATTCAGTGACTTCAAAAAGTGGAAGATAGTGGGGAGCCAAACATTTGTTTTTCAAGTGATCTTGATCTTCTTGAGTCAATTTCCCAGTCTGTATGTAGCAGCCAACAAATGAAAGAAGAAAAAAGGTTTTGATTCTCATTCTTGGTAGCATGGCCAATTCTCAGAAGGCCCATGAACGACCCTTTCCAGCATATAGGGAGCTGCTAACATTTCCTCTACAGTGCTTCCAAATGAGAAATTAAGAACAGTGGTGGGCGTCATGCACAGCACTCTACAATTTGCTTTCTACTGCATTTCAGCAGTTTCTAAAATGAGGATGCTGTCCAGTACAAGTCCACTACATGTGGACAACTCAATACAGCTCAATTACTACAGCATCTCCATTTTGTAAATTGTAGGAATGAACCTGGACGCTGCTTCGAGAGATGTTGAATCAGTTCAGGGATGTTATCTGCCTCAAAGACAGAAGATCTTGATTTATTGCTATGGTTAAGTTTGTTCTGGTTTTCTTCGTAACTAATTTTAGGCAAATTGGCATGTTTAATTATCAGCCATTCCTGCTCTTTTAATTCAGCAGCAGTGTGTAAAGTGTGTGCCACTGAAGCATGCTAAGTTATCTTAGCAGAATTTTGAGTCCAAGCAGTGGATGAGCACAGTATATACAAAACTCATTTTCATGCACAGTCTTATAACAGCCCTGCTCCCTTCTGTGCTGGAACGTATTTCTTCAAATTTTGATTACTACTGCAGTTTAAGTAGTAAATAAAAGGGTTTTGTGTGTGTGTTTGTTTTCTAAGTAGTCTGAAAAATAACCCCAAAATGATACTCAGTTCCAGTTGCTTGTTTTGTTTAGGTTGTGTTGCATCTTATAGCTTAGTTAAGCAACAAGCTCAGGAATTTCCTTTTTGGTGATTCTTACAGGCTTTGCTGCAGGATATACAAGGGAGGAGGGGAAGAGAAAGGGAGACAGTCGGGGGTGAAGGGGACTTAAGCTTTATGTCTCCATCTGCTATGGTTAATTCCCATCTCCATATCTCCCGCTGTGGCTTTGGGAATTAATGAATTTGCAATGCAGTGCTATGCTGCCCTTTCTTTCTGACTCCTCAGACTAAAACATCAGCTGCAGCCTATGTGTGCACTTGTAAATGTAGGAGATCAGTTTAGCGTTCCTCCCATGTAGAAATTGGGACACACCATTCTTCAATTTATGAGTCAAATTGCAATTTGCTATACAACCTATTAACACAGGTATGTGAATAGATACAAACCTCAATGGAGTCTGGACAGTTATTTAACCATGAAACAGATATCTCACTACTTGTTCATAGATTGACATGGCTCAAAATCCAGGCATATTTTGTTGGAATTAGCCAGCATTCTTTCCTATGCTCATACTCACAATGTTTCTGGAAACAACCCTCCTACCTGATGATTAAGTCAGATATTAATGCTGGGTCTTTACACGGTCACGAGTCTGTGGTGACTGCCTGTTCTACCTTGTAAATGAAAATGTGTCCAAAACTGTGTCTGTGTGGCATAAAAAAATACTCCCTGTACAGCCATCAGCAGCTTGGGTAGCTGTAAGCAGGTCATGCTGTCAGAATAAACCACAGGACTTGAAGTACTGCAGATTTGCCAGCAGTGTAAGTCTTCAGAAGAAAATAATAAGGGACAGCAACCCCAATAGGCAGGCACTAACAAAAGGGCCTGGAGCAAATTCCCAGTTTGGATAAGACACAGTGCAACTGGGTTTTTCTTTCTGCATTTTTGCCTAAGAGAAAGCAGCTGAGCAAAGAATCATTTGTATCACAGAAGAACCTGTCCTAGCCCTGTGCAGGGTCACTGGTATAAAACATGTTCTCTGTGTTCCTGCCAACATCAGTAAGCCCGGGAGTGATTTGCTCCAGGCATTCAATTCATGGATAGCTCACTTCATCCTCCTAGCAGATGCTCAGAACAAGGCTCTGCTTTCCAAGGGCTCCTGAACGGTTCACAAAAGAATCTTGCTCTAGCTCTACCAGAGCAACTCTCTTGGTCACTGGGAGCAGTGTGAGCACATTCAAAGGTACAGTTGTAAGACCCAGGAGAGAGCTAGATGCATCTGGCTCGTAAAGACCAGGCTAATTCTTTCCTTTATTCTGCAGCTTTCTGTCTGGTTCTTTGGGTCTACTGGAGACATCTTTGTTGGGGGAATAATGAACGGCCGAAGAAGCAAGACAGCTGAGCAACCTAAATAGAGTTTCTCACACTCACTAAAAAAGCTAAGTAGCAAAATGGGCTGAATTCTGGAAGCTTCGGAGTTGAGTGATAATCATCATATTGAGCAGCTAGTGAAAAGGAAGAGCTTGCACCCAGACAGAAAGTCTGTCCCAAATATTACATGTTAAAAGTATACAGGTTATCATGTGAGAGTGAAGATGTAGTTGCTGCTTTCCGCTCTGTTTTTTACAAAAACAAAAACTATATTTAACTTTATAAATTTCTCTGCCGCCTCTAGGACATAAGCATTGGTATCAGAGCAGGATGTGTGGGTGGGGAGATTTCCACAGTCTACAGTAATAAAAGTGTGAACTGCATAATCTGGGTAAATCCCCTAAGAAAAATCCAATCCCTAAAATAACATTTTTAGAGCAGAAATAGAGCAGTTGCAGGAGGTAGCAAGGGATGAACAAAGGTGATTAAAAGAAAAGAAAAAAAAATGGAGGCCACTGAAGCCACAGTTGATAAGAATAACTTTGTCGGTAACCTCAATTTGCCAAGCAGAGAAAAGTATTTAATGCACACAACAGATCAAATCAAAAAAAAAAAAAAAATTCCTTTTTTTCTTGCATACGAATGAAATGTGTGAAATGGGGCATGTTAGCAGACTTTATAAAGTACATACATAGAGAAGATACCTAAAAACTTAATTAGGTTGTCTCCTCATTTACAGGATATACTACAGTGGTTTTAAGATACTTAGGGACAGTCCTATTTAATTCCTTTCCACTAAATATACAAATTTCCCATGCCATGCAATATACAGTGGAGCAAAAAGCCTTGAACAAAAAGATTGTGCTCATACTATCAGCGTACTCCTGCACCAACATACAAGATTCCAGCAGTGAGATATCTGTGTTAGTGGGACATTTCAGCTGACCCACAGAGTCCTTTCAGGAAGCTGTCTAGTTTGTATCTAGAGTCTACAGACTTGTCTGCACTTCTTCCATCTCTGAAGCCAACTTGGTCTTAGCCAAGTTGGGTATTTCTACCTAAATATACATATTTTCTGCTCCACTGTAGGTGGATCTTGAATCCCTTAAATGACTGAGTCTTTGCTTAAATGAATATAAACCTTTAGTGATAAAATTTCAGTCACCAGGAGGATGATGACATATGGTTTACATCTACACTTCATGTCTTGCAAGCAACAAAGACTTTTCTAAAAAATGTACAAGCCATCATAGTCTTTGAAATTAAATACAATTCAAATACACATAAACAGGTTAATGTCTCGTAAATATGTAACTAAATATAAGTCTTAGGCTTTGTAGTTTTGTATATACATGTAAACCTGGCCTTAAAATCATTAGAGTGCATTCATATTCTGGTTTTGGCTTGCTACACAAAGGTTTGCACGCTTACCACACATGGTTTGGGGGATTGAAGTGAAAAAGGAACATGAAGGTGTAGGTCTGTAGCAAGAGTGGATACGAAAATACCTCAGTCCCTACCTCCTTCCTCAATTCAACAGAGAAGAGCTACCAGTTGACAAAGACACTGCAAAACAGGTAACAGCTCTCGCTGATATCAACTACTGGGTCTATGTCAATGACATACACATCTGGATGTGTTGACTTGTTTGCTTCTTTCCATTCATTCATTTATTTTTATTTTTTTTCCCTTTGTCTAGTATCTCAATTGGGCATCCTCAGCTTGAATTCACCATAGAAAACTCAAGATGGCTAATCCTGAGTTTTCCTGCCAGTTATGCTGACATAGCTAGGAGACACTCTATCTCTCTAGGCCAAAGTTCATGATTATCTCCTTATAACAGTTTTTTTTCTTCCTACACGTGTCGTATCAGATCTGCAACATCTCTTCTGGAGGTCAGCCTGCCCAGTTCTTCCGCGTTCAGATCCAAATCTCATTTGGGCCTTCATTGGCTTGACCTGCAGCATCTTCCCATCAGATCTTCTCCTTTGCATCATACCATGCATCATACCTTGCTTACACCAAATAAACGTAGTTGCCAAGGCCCGTTATCTGAACATTTGATCAAATCGCTCCCCTCTTCATACCCCTCTACTAACTCATCTCATCTAAATTCTTATCTCATGAAGAAATCAAGCTGTCTGCCACTATGTTCAAAGAATTACATAGCTCTGTCGCCACTACATGCCACCCCTGCTGAATCTGTTCTCCCCCCACATCCTCTTGCCTCCAGCACCGTTGCTCCTCTGATGCCTGCTTGCTGCCTACTTGCTGGCTTCTCACTTCTTTGCTGTCCTGTAGGCCTTGCTTCTTCTGAAGAGCTGCAAGGTCACACCCTCGAATTGCTATTTATATTCAATTTTCTGAAAATACAACATGTAAGTCTTTGCTAACAGACTGCAAACCTATTTGGCACAAACTAGGCAAGCTTTTCAGAAAGTCCTTAATGCTGCAGTCAGTGAAACTAGGAAGAGTACTATAGGCCTTAAGAAGTGCTCATAGCTACAAATGCAATGGCATTACAAAGTATGGTTATAAAACCATCTGTACTGGCACAAATCAAGCAATGCCGTTGAAATCCATTGCCTTTTTTGGCATTCACTGATGCTACCAGAATAAAGTCTATACAGTTTATCAGGGTACTCTACAGCAAATGTTTTTGCTTATCAGTTATTAAAAAAAAAAAAAAAAAAAAAAAAAAAAAAAAAGGATCTCTGAACATTATTTTAACCAGCAAATTCTCAAGGACAAGGAAAGTTATGCACACACAAAAGTAGTCCTATATTTTAGGGATGCAAGCACCTAAATTAGGCGCGCTATTTCCTAGAAGAACTGGGAAGTTAGGCCCCAGTATTGATCCTAGTCTACAAACAGGTAGGAAATCCTCCTAGGCAGCAATGATGAGTTTTTAGGGGACTGCAAACTTGTGTCATCTTTCTTGTTCAACCACAAGGGTTCCTTGGAACTCAGTCACTACTCAGAAATGAAACATTGCTTCACTAGACTTGCGTGTAACGTTTCAACCCATGCTGTGGCTCTTCTGCAAGACCACCAGAAAGGGGTATACGTAGGGGCGTACTGTGCAACAGCTCACTTTTCTCCATTTCTGTTCCATGATACAGCGTGACCTTTAGCAAATTCTCTATCGAACCTATGTATCAAATGCTATCTTTAAATTGTATTTTTACAGTAAATATTGGTTCTCAACTGGCATTGAACAAAATTGATAAGGGATTTCTGAGGATCCCTAGAACATTCTGCCTAAAGAAATGCTAAATATAGCATCAAATAGCAAAGAAGCAATTTGTTACCTCGTGGGTTTTTCTTTTTGGTTTGGTTTGGGTTTTGTTTTCTTGGAGACTAATAAACAGTACATTCTATTGAGAAATACGGTTTCTAAGTGTGTATCCAAGATATTTTTTTCACACAAACTGAATTTAAAATCATAAAAAATAAATTAAAGAATAAAATAAAATAATCTTCTTTGGTTTTTGCAAGGAGCTCTAAAAATACATCAGGATTAGGAAGGCCTCTACTTATGCCCTGATGCTACTGGAAACCAAAGCAAAAGTCAGCACTGGTAAATGATCTAGACTACGACAGCTTTCAAAAATGCCTAGTTGATGAAAATGTTTGTCTTGTAGTTTCCCCACATCCCACTAGACCCCACGTCTCCAATCCTCAGTAGCTTCAACAACACAATTATGCACCTCTAGTACATACATACAATATTAAAAATGGAAGGGCAGAAGGAAATGGAATGCATTTCTTTTAAAACATAACAGTGCTGTCATACTGAGCATCAGTGCAAATTCATTATTATTATTATTATTATTATTATTATTACTATTATATATTTAGCCTGGTGCAAACTACCCTGAATGGTGCCCTGAAGTCCTGAGGAAACCAGTTACATTGCTTTTGATGTTTGTGCTCGCTTTGCTGCTGATTATAGGGGTCTTGATTACATCTGCAGAGGGCACGTTATGCCTCTGCTTCCTGGAACATCTATACACAGATTAATTAGAGAGCACCTGTAGCAGACAATAATCAGTGAATAGTAACGTATGACAATTAATTAGTTATAATTTCTTGTAACCAATTGTTTTCCATTTAAATGTCTAATGACTACAAATATTTAGCAATTCTTATACAAGTAAATCCTGGTTATTGTTTTCATTTAGATAGTATGCTCAGTTGCTGCCTTTTGCTTTTGCTTGCAGAGTAGGAACTTTCATGTTATGTGGCAAATTTCCTTGGAACACTTTGTATGAAATCTCTGAGACACAAAGGCAACTGTTAAATACTCTAAATGGGAAGGCACGATTCCTTCAATAACCAATATGGATACATGACCTACTTCTAAGAGGGCCAGAGACACTCATCCTATATATCCATGCTCAGTATGTGCATTTATAACTGTATTTACTAAATGGCCAAGTCGGAGACAGATGCTTCATCATGCCACACCCCTTTAATTAATCCTTAATCACTGATTTACATTTATCGAATGTCCCTCAAGTGTTATTTTTTCCACAACATTTGCCCTAGAGTGTATTTCGCATGTGCTGTTCGTTTTATGACTTCAGAGAGGATGTGGTTATGGTTTGACAGAAAGGAAGCTTTGCTGTAGATGGGAAGATAAAGCTTAAAGTACCTACGCTGCCTTTAGAAGAACACCTTTTTTTTTTTTTTAAAAAAAAAAAAAAAAAAAAAAAAAAACTTAACTGCCTTCCTGATTGTGTCTCTTTCTTGGACGGGTGCTCAGCTCACAGGGCAGGCATCCCATGTCCCAGGAGAGGACCATTCTTGGCCCAACCATGAATAACTGTGTGCTCCTGGAGGAACAGCTGATCAAAAAATCCCAGCAGAAGAGAAGGACATCGCCCTCCAACTTTAAAGTGCGCTTCTTTGTCTTAACCAAATCTAAGCTGGCTTACTATGAACATCGCCATGGGGTATGTCAGCCATTTTCTTTGTCATAGTAGAATAACGGAGGGAAGGGTGAACTCTTTCTTAAACTTTATTAATTTACCATTTCTGGGTTTTGTTTTAGCACCACTCACCGAAATGTGTAGAGTGGTCGGATGGGTCCTTACAAACTTCTAGTCAGTGAGCATTTGGTGCATATGGGGGAATAAGACTAACTTGTTATCTTATAGAAAGTACATAATTTTGTTGTAGGAATTTAGCATGTTCTGTTAAAATCGATGTGTTTGACAGCTGCATGAGCCTGCCCCTTGCTGCCTGTGTGGGTACGGGAGTGACCTCCGGTGTGGTATTGCAGAGACTAAACTATGTCTAGCCACGTCTTCGCTCTCCTTCTTTTCTTTAGGGCAACAGACTGATGGTTGGTAGACCAGTCTTACAATTCAGAACAAATTCAGCTGCCATTCAGGTCTACTCTTCCAAGTTAGCTTCAAAAGGGATGTGATGATGAGATCCATGCTCAGACTAGGCCTTGTTTCCCCAGGCTTGCATTCCCTAATTTGCAAAATACGAAGAAAATTAAAAGTCAATCTATGCACCACATTGTGCTAAGTGTTCTAGTGAAGAGAGGATTATTTCCCTCTTGTGCTTAGCTGGATGTTTGCTGAGCCTTATCATGGTTGTAAATAATATTGCTTGTTTTCTAACAGTCACTTAACATGCTGTTAATCCATTATGTTTAGGCACTATTATTATACACAGACCAGTGCTGGGGATCTTGTTGTGTTGCTATCCAGTGTTGGCACCTTCAGATCATCTGATCTGATCTTGTTTAGAAAAAGAAAATTAAGTTAAAACTGAACCCAACGAGAAAAGCAAGGTATAATGTGTCCTTGTATGGTATCATTCTCCTGTTGAAATTCTATACCAGCTTCAAGGTTTAACAGTCATTTTTACTTGTAAGCTATTTCTCTGAAATGTGTTCAACAAAATGTTTTTCTTGCTTTTATTTTATAGCCAGTGTTATTCTTACCTTCATATTTAAATAGGAAAATATTTGTTGTTGCCCAGTGTATCTGTATTTAGTCTGAGAGTCTATTTGACTGCTATCCAAGCTATCTTTCAGCTGTCATTATTTTAGATTTTAAATTCTATTATAACTATTCAGTTGATTAATCTGGTTAAAATTTTCAAGGTTTCATCTGAGTGATTCTGCTGTAGGCATTTACAGAAATTTTCATACCTAGGGTTTTTTTTGATGCTTGCTGAGTCTTGATGGACTTGAGAAGGACTCAACATACACTTTGTCTAGATAGCTTTGTGGAACCACGCTAGGTGTTTGCATCTTTAGTCACTTAAATAGTTTGGAAAATCTGACTTGGTGGCTTTCAGTGGGGCATATATTTCATATGCAACATGACTGTCTTTGGAAATTTTATCCTCTAGTCTTCCTAAAGGTCAATTAGGCCACTCAAGAACATCTTAAAATACCTGTGAAGTAAACATTTAAGAAGCTTTCAAAGGCACATTAGTACACTACACATACAAAATCTGAATGGACACCAAGTGACAGCTGACAAATACCTTTGTACATATGTGTATGCAGTATTTCCTGAAAATTTGATCTCCAAAGTCAGACAACAGTGGGCCAAATCTTTAGGATGTGGCAAAATTCCAAAGTACAGTGACATCAAAATTAAGCTATGAAAAATTGGACCACATAAGGGTTTGTTGTATTACGTAGTTTACCTCATATATTATCTATTATAAACATTCACATGTACATATGTGTAAATATATAAAAACAGACTTTTTTTCTGAACTGTCAAAAGCAGGTCATTACATGAATAGAAGGACTTCATATCAAATGAGGAGAAAAGACTTTGTCCTGTGACATACTCCCAGAACCAATCCTTCAGCCTTTTCAATACTACTGCCAAAAATTAGCCCACTGTGGTCAGGCTTCCTTGTGGTCAGATCACGGCTTTTCTGCAGGGACAAACTTTGGGTAGGCTATGCAAACACCCTCTTGTTCCGTGCTAAGAATGGAGTGAATGCCCAGAAGAGGAGTTCACAGCCCATGAAGGGGAAACTACAGTACGTGCCTGACACATGGGCTAGGCCTGTCCCAGTGAATCCACCAGGACCAGGGAGTATACGCTGAAATCGATGGTCTAATCCTCTAGCACAGGTTGGGCTTTGCTCTGTGGGGACTCTCCAATAATTTATGGGGCTGGCAGGGGTTAGGAGAGGCTGGGGGCCATTGCCAACATGCATTGCTTTCGGTCCCCTTGCTCTGGGTGCTGGCCGCAGAGATGGGGAGTATCCACAGGCATGCGTGCTGCAAAGGATAGATGGGCCCAGCATCTGCCTACGCTTTTGATGTATTTTTCAAGGGAAATCTCTGTGGATGTTTGCTATGAGAGGTTTCAAGAGTTTCTTTAGGAACCCCTTACCAACAGGTCTAATGGCCTACTCTACGCAGAGTTCAATACTGTACATACCGTGGCCACTGCTCCAGTCCCCATTCAGTCAGTGACAGTGTAAATTCAGGTAGAACAATTAGCAAACTGCTAAGCAATTTTAGAAGTCCTGCTGATTTCAATGGAGTGTGTTGAAGTAAAGCATACTCTTATGTATTTAACACAGGCTTACATGTTTTGTCTGTATTTAACAGGGTTTTACAGCCAGTCCTTTTCCCTGGATTCAGACACTGTGGGTATAAAAAGACGTTTAACAGTGTATTGTAGCAGTCCACAGCAAAGAAATAACCAGGTTGACGGAATACAGGAATGATTATGTAAATGATACCAAAAGCTGTCAAGACAACCGACATCATAAAGGCGAATTTTTGCAATAACTACGATGACATTTTTCTGTCGTAACAGCACATCACTAGACAGAAGGCACTGTTTTCCTCAGGGGCTAAGCATACAATCGCCGTTAATGTTAATGAAAGATATTTACATGTCTCATTAGGAGAATGAGCCCCCAATAACTGACAACAATAAGAAGCTGTGTTTTCTGGAATTCATTAGCCAGTAGACAATGCAGGGCTGTCTTAACATAAAGCTAAGCTCTGATAACAGGCACATGTATTCAGCCCCCGTCTACTAAAATAAATCAGAAGTGCCTTTATTATGACATGCAAATCAATTCCATGGGCAAAAATTCTTCATTTCCAGGGTCTGATTTTATAGCTACTGTGCATGTGAGTAAATGAGCACATGGGAGTAATCATTTTAACTATTTCAATGAGTTTGATCCTCACTGGAGTAACCAATAATGCAAGTACTTCTGTGGTACTCTCAGGATCCCAGTGCACTTGCCTTACTGCAAAAGAAGCAGTCAAGTGAATCCCTTTTGGAGAGGTCTCTAGGACAGTTTCAAATGTTCTTACGTAGCCTTAGCAAAAACAAACTAGTGAGTTACCTTTATCTCCTTGGCTTAACGGCTTGTGGTCTTTGGTAAATCCTTCAGTTTAGCAGACAGAAGAACAAAGAGAGATTGCGTCTGAAGTGCTAAGCTACTCAGACACCAAAGTAGTTAGCATTTCAGACACTGAGTAGAAGTTCATGAATAATCTTTGGTATATCACATTCCTACCTGGAAAAGGACAGAAACAAGCATGTATCTTTGCCTTTCAAGCTGAATGTAGTCTAAAAGTGGCACAGATGTCTGAGGCTGATGCCACACTGACTGAACAGGCCACTGGGCTCTGGGGTGGTGTCGCACTGGTGCAGCTCCGCCGTTTCTGGATCGGAGCGGCTCATCTTGGTACGGCTCGGACCTGTGGGGAGTGCCGGAGCCTGTCTGTACCATGTATGCAACATGTGTCCCTATGCCACAGTTTTACCTCTTCAAAAATATGGATCTTTGTAATGCCTTGCCCTCTTTAGACATTCTGAGAATTACTTCGGAACTGGGAAAGTTTCATCTAACACCTGGGAGGTTCAGGCATGTAGCTATTCTTAAACTTCAGATCTTCATGCCCCTATGTGCTACTACTAGTGCAGCTTTTAAAGGCAGCAATAAAAGGAGCACACAGAAAAGGACCGCGTTCCCTCTTCATTTACAGCAGTTCTATTCTTCCTACACTGGTCAGATTCTCAAGAGGTCACAGAGCATGAGTCAGCCTTGTCCTTGGCTTTTCCATTCAAATCTTTGATATTCAGACATAAAGGTGACACTTCAGTGTGTCTTGGAATTTGCTTTCAGTCTGTTGTTCTGGGAAAATAAAAGAATAAACGTGACTGAAAAGCCTTTTATCAGGATCCTGAAAAGCTTCAGCTGCTTCTGCTGTATTATCTACACATTGTGTTACTTGCAACAGCCCAGCTACCCATGGTAACAAAAGAAGCTCTTTATTCCTCTTTCCAGCAGTCCATTTTACCTTGATTATTCTAAGCAGAACCTGACTTGTCCATCTTGCCCTGGAAAGGCTTGTTTTTCTCACCAAGTCTCTAAAGTAAACAGACTAAGACTTTGCTTCTGAAAGTCTTGGTTTTGGTGTTCCTGTTAATTACAGTGGCTGTCCATACCGTCCCTCGTTGTTTAATATAAGATTTGCTTTGTGTATTCTGGATACCTTAACAGTCACAAAATTATAATCTTCATAGACGCTGAATTTAAAGATGTTTCTGAAGTCAACCTCCCATATAAATATGTATCTGAGTAAATAGATCATTCTTCATGACTTGTCATGTATTTATTAACAAGTCCTGTTTGCTTGCCAGAATTTGCAATACCATCTGTCTTCTGATGCATATCTCCAACTAATTTATTAATAATACACATATCGCCCACAAAGAAGTCAGGCATGGCATCTATCTTCATCACAGCTGCTTCAACATTGTTGTTTTGTGTTTTTTTCATGAGAAATACAACATAACCTTAAATAAGATGGAAGCAAGGTACAAACTTTGTACCTAATGTTAAATGAATCCTTTCGCATACCTCTGTGAACTTATCATGGATTATATAATAACCATATTATTGGTTGGAGGGCACATCTGAAACTCATTTAGTT